TGGCTTCCAGCCAGCGGGCGCGGGTTTGCGCGTCCACGCGGCGCAGAACGGGCGCACACGCAAGCAGCGGCGCCGCGGCGCGGGCGTGCAGGCGCGTAGCCAGCGCGGAGCCGTCGCCAGGTCAGCACGCCACCGCCCGGCCCGCAGCCCGCGCCCCCCAGCGCCACTGCACGCCCGCTACGGGCGGCCTGCCCTCTCCACGACACGCACAGCGCCCGCGCCTCTACCACCCACGGACCCCGACAGCGCCAACGCCAGCGCCAGCCTCAGGGCTCGAAGCCGGCCCCGCGCCCGCGGCCGCCTCCCGTGACCGCCCTTCCGCGAGGCCCACAACACGCCCCGCGCCTCCACCCAGCCCACGCTCCCCACAGCTTCCACCGCCAGCGCCAGCCCCGGGGGCCGAAACCCATATAATCTGCGAGTCGCAACAACGCCATCACGTGTCCACGCGCTGTGTTCGCTCGCGCCGCAGTGCGACCATAGCAAGTCATTCGCCAACGTCATTTTCACGCCAATTAATTCAACGATTGGGGTTGCGGTAGCGTCGTCTTGACATAAAAGGCGGCTACGTGCTAGCAACCCACCGCCACGTCCACCTCCTCGCCTTCCTGCTCTTACACACCAAGGACGCCGTCTATGACCGCTTCAGAGAGGTGAGGCACAGCCTCTGAAGGCGACAATTTGGTACCCTTTGCGTTTCACTTTGATGTTGAACTAGCGCAACTAGGTGCAATTTGCAATTCGATGGCATTAGAGAAAAAAAAAATGTTACTTAGTACTTTCTACATGTCCTATTACAAAATATGCAAACAGAGATACTTTTAATATGGAGTTAATTTAATAATTTTTAAATACTGTCTGCTATCCAAAGTTTACACAATTTTTTTTTTCGTTTATCACCAAATTTCAGTCAAGGTTATAATTAACATCATAAAATACGACCTAATGTACATAATTCTGCACTCGAATAAATTGATTGGTTAAACGATAGAACAACTTGATTCGCTGGTTCTACTGTCATTTTTATAGAATACTCCTGTTTTACGAATGAGTAATAAATTAAACACCGCCTTACCACCGCCTTACACCGCCTATTCACATCTCATTCCTTCATATCCGATCCTGTCATACCCTTATTGCCAAAAATCCCTTTCTTTAAAGAATACAGTGATGCTATTTGTGACTCCTAAAAAAGCTGTAAAACTTTTGTAGTTACTGTTAGAGAATGGGACAGAGAATGTGAAAGGGAATTCAACAGAAATAATAATCTAAATATTTTTGATTATTTTGCAGGTATTAACTAAAGGTGCCAACTCGTATAGAAACCTTCAATTAAGTTCATCAGCGCCAGTCATTCTTGCAATTGGTAGGAGGCCAGAAATTGATAATTGTAAGCAGCAGAGCCAAAAAGGCAAAAACCGATCACAAGACTATGCCGCTAAGAATAATAGAGTAGGTCATCGTCTTCTTCTTGCAAATATGGGAATTACAAACATTATAGAAAACGTGCAGAAGTTTATAAATGACTCGCGGAAAGACAAGCCGTTAGATAACAACAACGAGAAACGCATTAATGTCAACAATTTACAAAGAGTTCTGAGGAAGAATAGAGACGTTAAAAACAAAGCACGACCTCTCAATCACTTTTCAGAACATCGAAAGGTTGAAAGTGAAAGGGAAGACGATTTGTCATCGCAGTCACTTTCTCAGGAAAGCCTTCAATCTCATCTCCTCACGGAGAAAAGCAAGCGATCAAACACTTTCCTTCATAAAGATTTTCATGTTGATCACCACACAAAGGATGACTGGATATCGCAGAAACTTCTCAAAGAAGACAAAGAGGGAAAGTGTTCAATAGGGCTGTCGCAGAGGCTCCTTGCGGAACAAATGCAACACGAGTGGCGATGGCAGAAGATTTTAGGGGAAGACCTGGAGAGCGATTGGGATTTGCACAATCTCCTCGAGGGACAGAGTTGCGGCGGGAGGCGAGTGCGTGAGGACGGGAGCGAGGGTGGGGCGCAGCTGCGTGCGGGGCGGCGCGTGCTTGGCCCGCGCCCTGTGGCAAGGCCACCAGGCTTCCGCGGGCTCGCTGCTGCGCGAACGGGTGAGGGGGACGCGGCGTGCGTGGGCCGCTGTCGAGTCGTGGCCCCGATGCGGGGAGCAGGAGCAGGAGGGCTCACCCACGTGCAGGAGCGCAGTTAGTCTTGTGTGCGCGAGCCAAGCGCTTGGTGGCAACTCGCTCGAGGGACCTTGGCGGACCGAGTCTTGCACTACGAGCGCCCCGTAATCCTAATGGCGTTGTTCTCGTTTGAAGATGTTCAGGGAAACGTCTGGTATGTCAGAGGGCCGTCATTTCTAGAGTTCAGAGAGCTGGAACACCGCCTTAATCTACTGTTTAACTGGAAAAATGTAAATACTCTAAAATCTGTGAAATTTTATCAGAAAATGGTCAATGAGTCCAGAACATGGGAGGTAAGTATTGGTTTGTATACCACTTACTACATTTGTTTCCATTATTTTTGTGTTTTAATTTGTTGAATATAAAATATTATTAAAGTAATGTTGTAGAATATTTCCAAAGAATTTATGTAACTCTACTTTTGTGACTGAAATTGATTCAGGATTATTTTTTTAATATTTTTCCATTCTGGAAAAATTCTACTCGTCTTTCATTGCGGAGCGTTATCAAAATAGTTTTATGAACGTCATTTTTTGGAGGATCAGATACAGATCATTAGTGATTTTAAAAAAATTTATATATTTGTGGCCCCGAGCAAACATTCCGCAGTTTTTAAGTTTTTTTTTTCAATGATTAATAGTCCCATCGCCAACTAAGGTCAATTAGTAACTCAATATTTGTTGTGAGTTAACAATAATAATATATTACTAGCGGAACCCGGCAGACGTTGTTCTGCCTTTCTTCTCCGTATTTTTGCTTCAGTCTCCCTTTCTCTCTCCGTCTCTCCCTCTCTTCATGTCTCTCTCTTCGTCTCACTCTCCATCTCTCTCACTCCGTCTCTCTCCTTGTCCCTGTCTCAGTCTGTCGGATGTGTGTGTGTGTGTGTGTCTCTCTCATTCACATTTAGTTGCAGATTACCACGTTTCTTAGCTGGTGGGTATTTGAAGCTGTTATTAAACAAATTTGTTTTTGTATTTTTTAAATATTGTCTCGATTACACCAATATCACGCCGAAACGAGTTGTATCATGAAAAATGTTTATTTAGATTGTTGAACATGAGTTTTTGTTGGCACATTGGCCTCCAAATTGCTTCAAATTTGGCGCCTTGTTTTTTAATAGGGCATTTTTGATGTTCTTTGGTGGAGTTTCAGAGCGAAGGATTATGCATTTCAAACTTTGCGCTTCGGAAATAGTCTTAATTTTTTTTAAGCCGCACGAATTTCTTCTCTTTTGACCAAATACTCATTTCTTTCGTACAAAGTTCCTTGACTTAGATACTCAGCTGCTTCCAGTTAGTTAGGAGCGTCACCAAAAGATTGCATTAGCTTCTGGGCAGCTCCTCGTTTCGAAACATGTGAAGCATTGTCAAAATACTTAGAATATCGTTGTTTTCATGTAAGACGCGATGAGCTAGCATTGTCATCAGAGGCAAAGCGCAGAAAACTTAGTAAAAATGTTTTGAACGCCTTCAAAGTTCGATTCAAGGTGTGACAGACACTGACGAAAACGACGAAATTCGTAACGAAAAGTTTAATTTCGTTTGGATAGAGGTAACTGTGACAATTTCTTCAATGCTCGTTAATTCTTTCTCCAAGTAACAATGTTTGTCAATTGTGTGTCGTCTCTTTTCTAGAACACCTTTGTTTTACCACAAATTACTGAAAGCAGAGGCGATGTTTTGTTGCAGCTTCTAATAATTGATCTCCCAACTTTTTCTAAGAGTATTTCGCTGCCTCAACAGTTTTGAAGGACGGATACATAAAATTTTCTATAATGTGTGACGGAAATATTCCACAAAATTTCATAGGATTTCAATTTTTTTTAAATTCAAAAGGTCTCAATGAAAACCTGACCTGTGCAATTTTATATAATCGTATATAATTATATTCGGGAAACATTTTCAGAAGATACTCAGGGACTTTTTTTACTTGCATTTTACTATTAAAACATGAGTCTTTGTATTAAAATGTGTTCAGCGACAACCATTCGAAAAAGCTACGTAGGACTGGCGCGATGATATTCTTGATGTACGTTTGATCTGTGGGAACTTCACAATACAAATGTTGCGAACGAAGTATGGCAGATCATTTCCTTTGACTTTGTGGAGGCGTCACAATCAGTTATTACGTCGCATAGTAGCCGTGGCCTCCGCCTGCGAAGCTGCCGGCCCCGTGTCGCTTGCGCTGCGCGTGTTCTCCCCCCGCATCTGGCTGGCGCGCTGGGGGCGGCGATTTCGTACGCGCTGGCGTGGCGCGCTTCGTGGCGGGCGAGTCGCTGGCCGCCAGCGCCGCCGCGCGCTGCGCGCCTTCTCCTTCCGTGCGGGGGCGCCCGCAGGACAGGTGCGCGCCCACGCCGCAGCCCTGCAGCTGGCCGCCGCGCTGCTCGCCTCCGCCGTCGTCGTGCCGCCGCCTACCAGGTGAGGACACAGTCTCAAACTTTCAACACTGCCTTGCTTTGCTTTGCCGTTTTGTAATCATCGAAAGTAAATAAGAATTTTTCTTTCGATTTGAATTTTTTATTGCATAAATAATTGATGCCGATCTTTCTTTCCTTTCTAAAAACCTGATTAATATAGAAAAATAAATAGAAAGAATTTTCACAAATTTCAATACAATTTTGCTACAAATGGGACCTAGTGTACAATACTGTTCACCTTAGTTTTAAAGTTTATATCTGCATTTGTAGTAGTACCTAAGATATGAGTCATGACCATGAGTATAAATGCATGAAGATCACGGAATGAATATGATATAGTAAATGGAAGTGGATCGAAATTTTGCCATTTCAAAAGATTATAAAGTGTTTTCTTTAGTGGTAAATAGTATCATTGAAACTTTATTACGGATTTTACACTAAGCTTGTGTTTTCTTTCTAGGGCCGACTCTTCGACTTGATTATGAAACCCCAATGTTACCCGAACATCGATACAATCGACAAACTAATTGCCAGTGGAATACCAGTTTTAGCACTGGAAGGAGAACATCAATATTTCGTAGAAAATTTAAAGCGGAAATGTTCACTTAATGCTCATATGTTGGTTGGTAGAGATTTATGTTACAAAAAATTGTGGGATCTCAATTTCAAATTTCTTAATAACCTAGATCTCCTACTATCGACATTAGCTGAAAATCGATACGCTGTTTTTACAAGTGAAGAAACCTGGCAGTGGACAATTTCTAAACATTATCGAAATGCAGGGTCGATGAACATAATCGTTCCTCTGAAACCTGTACGGACCTATATGACTGCGAAATGGTAAGTAAATTTAGCAGTATGAGATTGGCAAAAAAGTAATAACTTGGCCAAACCAAGCTTCTAAAATAAACTTGAAGTAATTCGTGAGAGTAAATTGACCTGTGGCTAGCCTTTGGTCAGCCTCCGCGCTTTCCACTACACGGACCGGGTTCGATTCCCGGTGGGACAAGAGTATCGTGTGCATTTTCTTTGCAATGCCCCAGTATATGATGCTATTTGACGATGAAAAAATGAACTTCTCAGGTTGAGAATATCGGAATTAGGCGTCGGGATGTCTCCATGCTAACCACACATACCCCATGAACCCATGGCTGCTAGGCAGGGACGTCGCCGGTAGGACTGAGCCAGTTCACGGGCTGTTAAGCCAAGTACATACATACATACATACAAATATGAATGCGCAATATACTACAGAAGGTACCGAATTACTTTAAAATTGCGCTCCCCCTACCATTTCAATTTGTTCCTTCTATATTTATTATCTTCGAATTAAAACAAATTACAAGTACAATAAAAGAGTCACACAAAATTGTATTTTCTGTGGAAGTATTAAAGAAAATATATCAGTTTTATTCGTCCAACATATCCACGAAAGGTAGGTTTCCTGTTCATATTGTAACTTACTCGTGCCTGGATTCAATCGATCCCCCAACATACCTCTCTTTGCTTGATTGCAGTCTTGCTGCTTTGTAGATTTAGAGACTGGAGTTAGACAGGCATGACATAACATTCGGCATGATTGAAAAAGAATGTGATGTAACATGGATTTACTCTCTCTCTCTCAAATTAATTTAAAAAAAAGGGATAAAAGTCGTGGGTGATTAACTGATCGAGAGTGAAGTATGGCAGGCGGGCTTAAAAACTTAATTTTCAGAAGAATCTTATATCGTAACTACAGGCACTCAGTCAGGGGGACCGCAACGAACTTTCAAGTTTATATTTCAATCATTACCCGCTGTGGGGCAACGCTTGAGGTCGTGGGGTGGTTTAAGATACCTTCTTTTGTCTCGCTCTTTAACTATCAGTTTCCTGTTTGAATGCAACTGGAGATAATGGTGACACTGATCTTTTGGAGTGGTATCGTAGACAGCATGTGTTAGTGATCTGTTGAGTGCCCTATGTTAGACACCACCGTTTTCTACAAACATACTTTTGTGTTTTCAGTTCATTTCATTTCTCACTTCGTGCTCATTCACAAGCCCTAAACACACAACGACGCTTCCGGCTCAACCAAGTCCTAAGCCGCGCAGCTACACAGTGTCCGGGGAGGGAACGTCGGCACTTCAAAGAAAAGTTCTTAAAGCTATTTCATGTCTAATATACTCATTATATACTGCGATTGGCTGAGTTGCAGTACACCCAAACATTTACTCAATTTGACTGCTTCTTACTCCCGTTTACATACGTATATACAGAGTAATTTCTTTAGTATAGGGGAAGTTATATAATGCTGCGCGAAAAAACAGTGGTTTTTTGACAGAAAAAAAACATTGCCGGGCCTTGATAACGAAAAAATGAGTTGCTAATTTAGAAAGCAACTCCCAGCAAGGATAAATCCAGTTGCTAAATTAAGAACAAAATCTTCTATGACGTAATATAACTAGAATAATATAATTGCGAACCTCTAAGCGTAGAGTCCCGACTGTGCCGGGATTTGCGACCTTAGTTACATAGGTGGCTCGAATTCAGTCATTGTCAGGAAGAGAATTCTAACAGCCGGTAGCTCCTATCGGTAGTTTTATGTGGTTTATCCGATCATCCTCAGGCGAATGCTGGAGCGTTACCATAAGAAATGCTTGCTATCTATCTGTTCTCTTCCTTGTCCTATCCTCACCACTTACGTACACTTACACTTACATTCACTACATTACCACACACGTTTGGGGAACAGTTTGGACCTTAGGTCGTCCCGGCAATACCTCGCTGGCGGGCGATACCTGTTTGAGGGAAACACTGAAATCCTACGGGTAGTTCGGTGCCAGAAATCCCCATGCTGCGGGGAGACATCAGAGCTACCGTCAGCAATAAAAAACATGC